TCGACGCGACGACGAGCAAAAAGTGATACCTTTTTTTTTCTCTCTCTACTGAAAAGGAATGGGGGTGTGTGTGTGTGTGTTTTCTTGCTATATGCCACTCATGCTTTAACGAGTTTAAATGAGATGGAGCGAAACGCCCCGCGCCTGGTGCAGCAAAAGCCTGCAGCAATCTCTCATCGCGGTGTGTGCTGGTGAGTCTGCTTGTGTGATGGCGGTGTGCTAACTAAAGATGCATCACAGTGGCTGAGACGGGCTTGTTGGGTGGCGGCAATGAAGGGGCGCGGGGAGGATTGAGGGAGTTTTCAGCCGTACAACCACTACTACGACTATGTTCTAGTACAATACTGAGAGATGGAAGGAGATGGAAATCCCGAAGTCAGTCAGCCGAGCCTGTTCCTCGGTTACCAGGAGGAAAGAGAGAGACAAAAGAGAGAGGAAGAGATGTTTCGGTTAGGGAGATGAGGAAGAGAGAGACAGATAGACAGAGAGACAAGAAAGAAAAAAATCACAAATATGTACGATGCGAGGAAAATTGGAGGTGTGAGTCTCAAACGGGTCCTTTTGCCGCGCTAAGAGCACGAGAAATAGAGAAAAGGACAGTGAGACATGGAACGGATTTGAATTGTTTGTTTCGGAATTGTTCATACTTCTTGTAAGTTTGGACGGCTAAAGAAATGAAATGAATGTCTGCGCACACAGGGCGGCGGTAGATGCACGTAGCAAAGATTGGCTGTCCGAGAGACATCTCGTCTTCCCCGAGACTTCGTTCAGCCACAAAATGCTGAATAGTTTCTTAAAACAGGCCACTATAATTTATTTCCGTATTTATGCAGCGTAATTGAATACACCGAGAAACAGACGTAACACAAAGATAAAGTTACATCTGTAGGGTTATTTTTTTCAGCATTTAATAAGAACCGTGGATTTTCATGAGGTTTAATATTGGGGAATTTTACTAAAATTTTTATACGCATTTCAGTTTTGTTTAATGTCGGAAGTAAGGCATCGCGTGAGACGCGTGGAACCCTGAATGTTCATCGCCCGGTGTATAAAATATAAATCGCCTCTTAAATGAAATGATTTGGTCGCTTTTCTTTCATGTCTAGTCCGGTTTCCTCAGTTACAGATGGAACTGTTGGGAGATGCACGATGTATTATTTAACAGCGTTATATTGACCACTTTGTTCTAAAACAGTTTCTAATTAATTAGGAGTTTTAAAACTTTGATCGCCCAAGCGGCTGTTTACGGCCTTGATGGACGAGATTAATTGTTAATATCACTTATATTTCATTTTGGAGGCAAATCGGGGAACAGTCCTCTCACAAATAATACGCATATCACAGTCATGACCAAGACAAAATGTGATGTTGTGAAGGGGCAAAGTAAAACTTCTGTCATCCCCTGACCTTGTCTTACACTTAAAGACCATTGTTTCAGGGGTTTACAGTGAAGTAAGGAACCGTGTCGATCTGACGCCGCAAGACCTGAAAGGTAAGAGGATTAGCTGTCACCACGTACTGAGACGTTTATGCACAAAGATGATTACCTGTCGATATATCGCCGTGTAGATATTTTGACCCATATATCGAATTGTGTGAGATTCATGTTGCACTGCAGTATGCAGAGCTGCATATTTCTAATCAAGACTCAGGTTTTGGCTATCAATATCGAATCTCAAGAGATTTATTTTCCTACCTGCAACCACTTATTACATAATATGAGACCACGGTGGTATCACGATGAAACGAGTATGCAGATCGGCACATTTCTTACGTTCTCTTAAAACCACGAGCCTATGTCTTTCCAACTAAACTATACATATAGATATGTATCGTTTTGACAACAAAATCTACATTATCCCTTTAAAGTATACAACTTTTTAAGAATTTTTTGTCAGCCGTGTGAGATATTTAAGACTAAGTAACCACAGCATGACTCGTCCTCAGGCTGTGAATTAATTAAATAAAGAGTCACAGACAGCCGACAAGTGGTGGTCTTCCAGCTAAGAACCTGGGCGACGGACCGTAAAAATACAGCAACTTACAAAATATTACAAAAAGGTTTTGAAAATAGTAGTGCCCTTGTGAATAAGATTATTAACCTATTGAATTCTTGAATGGCTGGAAATTTCTTGAGTCCAGGTCTAAGTCAACAACCTCTCATGGGAATGCCCGGTAGGACTAAGTTACAGTTCATTTCACAGTCAGCAATGCGATGCGAAGTGCAGCTCGTTTAATTACTTGAGTATGCAACATGGACGGAAAGCGCTGTCCAAATATATGAAGTAGCATCGCAATTAGTTTTGCTCATGACTTATCGGCAACTTATCTGTCACGTTTGGAAAAGTCTCGATCGAAGCTGTAGTGATATCACAAACACTACTAGAAAATTAGAAATTCCTTGATTCGTCTGCAACTTCTCTGGCATGTTTTAGTTACGGGCAGGTATAATCACTGTACCGCAGGCGCTGTTGAACGGAAGTTTGAATAAGTAACGAAATTTCTTTCATAATTATTATTAGATATTATTATTATTCAATTGTTTGGTTGGTCCACAAACAGCCAAGAACTTCGGGAATTTTGCCTTCATGACTCGGATGATTGCAGGTCAGGTGAAACTTTAGATTATTATATTATATGAGAGGATTTTGAGTTTAGTGACGAGTTAGATTATATTGCGTGAGATTTGAGTTGCTCGTGATGGTGAAGTTGACGTTGCGCAGAGTATTATAAATGTAATATCTCCATCTTCAGGGCTGAAATGATATCGCCACTTGACTAAGTCTTCATCTCTCTGTCAACTTCCCGAGTTTATTGAAACATCACGTTTCATGTATAAAGTATGCCTGTCAGGTGTAAAACGTTTATTATTATTGTAAGGGGTACACATTTATTCGCATCTTTGTGCATTGTTCCGTCGGAAACCAGACTGGAAGTGGACGCTGTCCTTTGTTCATTCTGAGGAACAAAACAGGAATAGTTCTGGCTGAGGAAAGGACAGAAAATTGTATGAATCTCTTTCTGGATTTAAATCAGGTTAGTCTTTTACAGTCCATACCTAAAATTGGAAGAGACCCTGCACATTATTTCATTTGTGGCCTAAGGCGTGTGCTCTTTGTAATTTTGTATGTTTCTTCACTGTATTTAGCCATGCAAAAAGATCATTGGCACAGTAGGCCGATTACACCGAGCGGTTTAGTTGAGTATCTGTTAATAATGTATCATTGTGATGAGACTTCAGGTTCTCACGGCTGCGAGAATCAAGGTGGCTGTATTCTGTGATGTCTGAGCCGTGTTGTCTGGTATATTACCGACGTTTCAGATATGCTTACTGATTCCATCACCACGGCGACCGCCCTGATGACGGAGGCAGTGAGCACTTCTGAAACGTCGGTAAACTTCTACCAGACTATGTGACTCAACCACCCCAGAAGACAGTCATCTTCATGTATAATTTTAATTTAGCGTCTTCTGAAACAGTATGAAACTTTGTAGTAGTTTTTAAAACAAACTGCATGGATTCCCAAAACATCGCTCAAGCGCCTTTAATTAAATATTCTGCTACTTTCTGTTCGTAAACATGTAAATTGTCTGTCACATGTCGTGTTGTTTAATCGCGTGTTGTTCGCCCCTGCTTGTCATTAGATACAAGAAATTTCATGACGTAAGGACGAGACACAACAAAACAGGACATACGTAGTCCTCGCACGATAGTGTATCTAGGATTTGCTTTGTGCAGTTGCGCTGAAAAATCAGTCAGCATATAATTCTTTTTCCTAAACTTATACTGCACTTCATCACTCACGTTCTCAAACTGTGATGATAAAGTTTGGACACTTCATTGGAAATATGGACATTTAAGTCCCTTTCCTTGTCTGAATACATCCTTGCTGTCACATAATTGAATGTGCACTGTGATAACATGTCAGTAGAGTAGATGCTAATGGATTTTCATCATATCTCTAAACTAGCCTTTAAAGCATATAAGGTCGTAAGCCGCTTTCTTTTTAATACGGTACTGAACCTTATGGTTCCGTAAGAAGTGGTACATTAATTCACCCGCTGAGTTACTATTAGCTTCACATAGTGTCTACTGAAGTACAGAGGCACATTCCACGTTTCTAATTTTCAGTGGTATTTCCATGAAGATTATTGAGATGCTGATAGTCGCTCAGCTACTCAAGATATTACCGTAATTTAAAGGAACCCGAAGGTCGATCACCATAAATTTAAATAAAAAATTGACAGTGGAACCACGGTTCCGGAGAATTTGACGTAAATACGTCTATACGGAAAGGAAGTTTATATATTGGCTTTATTATAAATATTTCCTTTATACATGCTTTACAATTGCGTAAAGTTTGATTAAGACTTTGCTTATTTAACTTGAATTAGTTGCGCTTAAGATGGGTCTGTGGTGGCTGAATGTAACGTAAATTAATGTAACGTAAGGTAAGGTAAGGTAATGTAATGTTTTATAGGTAATAACAATGCCGAGTAAACAGATGACGTTTCCTAAGTAACATAACAATGAAGTTACACTTTTTCGTTACATTTTTGCCGAATGACACTGACCCTAAAATATAGACGTATTTACGTCAAAAATATTAATAAACTTATTAGGATCTTTCACAAGTTTAATTAATTTGATAAAAGTACTTTTAGGATTCTTGTCAGATTACTATAACGGAACATACAAAGTATAACTTTAAATAAATCATAAAATCGAAAATCCTGAAGGCCTGGATGAAGGTATAATACAGTAGCGGCCTTTTGTGAACGTGATAATAGTCATTCTGATTCCATAAAGCCCGGTAGGCTAAAGATGTTGACCTGGTGAGTAACTCCTGGCTTCTCAAGCAGCAGTCTGCTTCGTGGATTTATTCTGTCGAGAGACGGAGAACCAAAACGCTACGCAAAGAACACGAGGAGAATAAAACGACTCCCATGCTTTGCGGTTGGACAGTCTAATGAGCCAAGAGATTTTTGTTGGTGTATTGCACTAGCAGGATTCCCAGTCAACGGGAAATAAGCTTTCAGACCGCACGGAGATGTCGCTAGAAGCAGCGTTAACGGGAAGAAACCGAGCAGTGTAGAATGGGCCCGCTAGCATACGGGTACGGGACTCTCGGTGGTGGGGTACCGGGGCTGCCCGAACTATCCCGATCAAAGCGAGCGCGCGGTGAGGGCAGGCGCAACAGACAGATAGACGGTCGGACAGACGGACGGGCCTGTTTCCTTGCTTCAAGTGGCAGCAGCAGAGGAGGGGAGTTTTTGGTCGCGCCACGGAGCAGTGGGAGGGGGGGTCAGAGAGGCAGATGTACGGCAGAGACCCACAGAACGTCCCGTGACGGAAGAACGAGCTGACTGGAACCAGGACGGTGGCAGCCCGTCGGTGGCTTTTGCATTTTTCGTGGTAGTGAGAGAGTAACACAGGCTAGTAGGCCGGTGCATACGAAGAGAGGACGCTTTTTGTTACATCGGGCGATTCTTAGTTGACACCTTGCGCGGGCTGGAAACGTGGAGCAGGCCCCCAGGTCACAAAAACTGTTTTAAAGCTTAGCAAACAAAACACATCTTATCCCAGTAAATCTCTAGTGACATCCAAGTGATTTAATTACTTCGTTGGTGGGGTGGGACGGCGGGGAATTTCGAAAGGAGTCGGTGTAGGTCGTATGCCCCTTTTAACCAGTGCGTGTAGTTTTGGACTTCCGAAATTAATAATAACTCGATCTTTTGATAGGCTTGTTTTTCCATCTAGAGATGTCTGTAGGAAGTATGAAGTAGACAGTCTAATACACATAAATAACATAAGGGCTTAATAGTTCGTGTGAAGGAACTGAATCGTTAGTGATGTGTTGAACTTTCGATCTATCGAGCAGATCCATCATGACGTCTGCTATGCCTCTCGATAGAGAACTGAGACGCCGACCGTCATCTGTGGAACCTTCTACAGCTGTATCGACATCGTCTCTGACAATGCCAGCTGCAAAATCGACCTTGACACCAACAAAGTCGTCATCAGCTTCATCACCGTCTGTTTTGATGTTATCACCGATGAAACCCCCAGCCCAGAGTCACAAACGTCGTTCGACGTCTCAGGCAAAAACAGACGAAGATGGACAACAGCCTACTAGTAAGCGTCGTCGCCATAGTAACAAAAGCCAGGGCAGCGTCAACGGAACGGCTAGCAACACAAAGGAAGACATGTTCGTTCATTACCAACCATGGGTAATACAGACGTACGGAGATTCAGCGAAGACCAAGACAATCACACTGAGGAAATACGCACGCGTGTTAAGAACGCTCAGAGGAGAGGAAGGTAATTCAGTGGAGAATTCGAAATTTCGATTCTGGGTGAAAGCCAAAGGATTTCGAATTGGGCAACCTCCCGGATACATCGCGAAGCCTGCTGATGGCATCGTAGGGAGTCAGACCCTATCTGATGACAAGGAAGGCGGCAACCAGGACCCGCCCCTGTACGTTCCCACGGCAACTGCAAAGGTAGGACACAGCAACTGCTGACATGTGCATGTTATCTACCGAGGCCACTCTAGTGTGTTCATTTGACGGAAGTTAACCGATTCAGTTCATTTATACCATAAATATCAAATGATCCAGGCTTTAGTAAACCTCACAAGTTAATGAATTTGGTTTCATTCTCCCTGATGACGTGTTTATGCGGTAACTGTTGTCGATTGTGTTTTGTCTGTTGAAGTAAGCAACTTAGGTTTTGTCAAATGACGCCTTAATAAGGCAGACATTTTGAGGTTAGAAGTAAGTCTGATAGAAATCTGTGAAAAGGCTCTTCACTTTGGTTCAAGTCTTGTAAACGTTGAATATATTCGACTACGATTAACAGCAAAATATAATTAATGCATCTCATTCTGAAATTATTTTCTAGTGTCTTTTAGCTAGGACGTGGGGGCTGTTTTGAGAGATTAATCCATAAGATAACTTCAGTTCGCTATGTATACGCACAGATCAACTGTGTCGATGGTAGAAAATGTCGTCCCTTGTATAACTAAATCGTATTAGGTGTTGTAAAACAGAAAACTTTGAAGTCGTTCTATACAGTTAGTGGCTAGTGGGGTTTGGTGTTTAACCCTGGAGTGACAGACAATGTAATTTGTGCCAGTTTCCCGGAACGACGCCTGTAACATTTGTACAAACCTAAAATAATAATATTAATAATGATCAGGTATTCGGAAATTCGTTTACGTACAGCAGTGTGCTTCAGGATGAGCTGTTGACTGTGGAATTAACGACAACGTGTGCTTTATTTCTAAGGTTTTATGTACGCTAGTTGTAAAATTGTTAACATACGTTCCTGGATTATTGTCTGAGGACCGGAAGGTTCGCTGTGCTTGCAAGGGGCTTTGTCTAGAGCCAGCTTAACCAATTTAAGACCTCCTTGAGGCGAGATTTCAGGTTCTCGCGATGTCTCATACGAATATGAATGTTCCCATGAAAGAAATGGGAAGAAATTCGGTCTTGAACAGGGGAATTTTTCGACTTTAATCTGCTCCTAAATTCATATTTAATGAGATTTTAATCCGTTACTGCCGTTTAGAATTGAATGTCTGTTTATAATTTCTTCGCTTTGAAATAGGAAATTGTACTTGTGACACCTTTTTGAATTTTCTCGTTCACTCATGCGATCATGATGTGCCCAAAACACGTGAAATATAATACGGCTTTAGGGTACAAACTATTGATTATGTAGGTAAATATTTGCATGCTGGTCTGTCACTGAATATCGCATTTCTGACCCATTCTCCGAATTTATGGTCTAGTGGCCGGGGGCAGTGACATCACCGCGTTCACCACACTTCACAAAATGAGGACGTTTGATGTTGCAGCTGTTATATTGTGCGAGCTTCAAAGGTGGCGCTGTTCGGCGTGCTGCCTCACGGGGGGAGCTTCCTGTGTTTCAGGACGTATGATTCAGAAATGTGTACAATTAGGTCATACTGTATGGGACGGAGAACGTACGACGATGTGCGAAGAATGTTTGGGCCCAAGGAGGAGTTGTTTTTTGGCTTTAATCCAAAATCGAAATTTTGAATTCCCCACCAAATTAGACCGGCTCTCTTTGCCTTTTTAAAGGAGAGTGGAGAATATTATTTAATGTAAGGCTTCAATATTTGTTCTCTTTACACGTTGTAAGCTCTGGTTACTTAAAAATGTTACAGAACTTTAGTAAACCATTGAACACTGCTGAAAGTTAAAGGTCTAAAATCTTTAGTGGCAAGTGTAGACGTTACAATTAGTCGTCGAAAGTGAACATTATACCGATGCGTCTAGACGAATTTTAAAGTTTTAAATTTCAATTCTTTGCTGTATTGATGGTGTATAAAAGTTTTATATGCGGTCATTAAAACAAGGTTGTTGAGACAGGAGAGCTATGCGTTACATTTGTTTATTTGTGGTTTATTTAACGACGTTGTCGGTAATCAGACTGTACAGCGTCCGAGGATAGGTTGGTATGGAAGGAAACCGTCGTGGTGTAATTTATGATTGTATGCAGGCATTCGTCTGAAGGGACTGAGGAAAACCACTAAAAGTCCAGTTAGGATAACCGGTCTCCGGACCGAGATTTGAAAACGGGACGCCCGAATACGAGCAGGATTGACGTCGTTCACGGATGGAAGAGAGGAATAACGTAGACGTTAGGTGTAGGTGGGAGGAGAATCCAGTGGATTCCGGTTAATTGGGACGCATCGGGACTGGAACACTTTGGCCCAATTATGCGAAGTTCCACGTAAAGAGTTAGAAAGGTTTGTTCTTTAAGATTTGTCCCAAATAAACGGTATCCCCGATTAACCGACGGCCTAATTAACCGGAATCTAATGTATTGAAATGGATCTCGGTACTATTCTGGCTTACGTAAGGTTATGTAAAACATGGTAATGAACTTCTAAGTTCGATAAGACCTAGTAATTTATTTCACTTTTCTACGAAGATCCTCCAGTATGAGTTGAGTTATGACATCCGTAAGTCTGCGAACTTGCTTTTCTCTGCTGTCCGATTTAGAAACATTACTTCCTGCCACGTAGCACAAATTAAACGTGTTTTGTGTTCAGTGGTTTCATTTCGGGAGGATCTGTTTTAAAGCACTTACCAGACAAGGCGTACACAACACAGATATGCTACATAAGTCAGCTGTGGTGTTCGGTGGTCCAGATATTTTCCTATTCATTGTCATATGTTTGTTAAATTGTCAGATGAAAATAAGGCCATGTCTTAATAGGTAATCGCTCCGAAGTACGACCTAAACTTTTCCCTCTTCGCAGTACCACCTCCTCAATTGGAAACGTCTTTACATAGCCTGAGAATCGATAAAGTTTATCTGAATTTATCGTTAGTAGGTCATGGTTTCAAATTAAGTGAATTGAAATTAAACGTCAGTTTTATTTTTGATTTAAAAGTGTTTTGACTGTGATAAATAATTAATTATATCTGCAAATATGAAAATCTACTGGAGTCGATTTATAGTGTTACATAGTGACATTTCCGTGTTACGTAATGACTTGTACGTTTATCGTAAACGTTGATAACCAGC